GTCTATAAAATCCAGACTTACTCATTCAAAAATGTGAATAGCAGCATATCCCAGGACTACCACACTGAGACAGAACATCTTGAGTCTTTCTAATCTGCCAGCTAAAAGGGATAAGAGTATTTGATCTAGCAAAGAGGGCAGAACTGTTGGGCTTACTGGTATTCTTTCACGGCATTTGGATCCAGCAATTACAAAGGACTGAAAAGTAGACTTGAAGGGAAGTTTCTTTATTAGGTTTTCTTCTAGGTCTTTTCTTTCTTTTTTTGTTTGTCCTGGAAGCACAATGGTTTGTAGTCTAGCCTAAGAAGAGTGCATCACAGACAATAGAAATGCTGTTGAAACCTTATCTGGGGTTCAGAGGTTGCTTTCATATACTATGTCCTCTGTTTCTTCCATTCTTTTTCTGCCTTTTCCCCTCCTGACTTCCCCTTTCCCTCAGCTCCCTAATTAATCTCCCTCTTAATCTCTCCACCTCTATACCGCCTGTATTTTTCACCACTGCAAACCTTCGCTCTGTTCTCTCCTTTCTGGACAGAAAAAAAACAGTTTTTGCTTTGCTCATCTTCATGTGTATCTTTTGATGTCAGCTTTTTCATGTCCAAAGATTTTTTTTCTGTTCCTCTCCCCTTCACACTCCTGTCTTTTCCATTGCAGGCTCCTTGTCACATTCTACACATGCCTTTCACTGAGCCTCTTTCTGTGAAACTTTCTTTCAGCTCAGCTCCATTCACGCACAGTAGTGACCCTGCCAAAACACAGACAAGGGTGCCTCACCCCAATCCAACCTCCAGCTCTTAGACCACTGTTTCCCCTAAAAACTGCACTGCAACTCCCCGCTCACACAGTTAGCCCAGCACAAGCCCTGCGAGACTGCTTTCAAATAACTTAATTTTCTTCTATCACAGAGACATAGCAGTGGGGAATGGGGGTCTTACCTCTGTCGGTGCATCCCACAGACGGGATCAAGCTGTCCACTTTCCTTTGACTTCAACAATGCGTGCAGCAATGGTAGTCAAGCGAGAGCGATCTGAGAGAGCCAGCCGCCACTCAGGGGCCGTTGCACAAACACCAGCATTGTCCGGCTGCCTAAGTCCCTCCCTCTCGTGGTGACTCCCCGTGTGACACAGCCCCAGCAACACAGCTCTGCACTAACACAACTCGACATAGACTCATGCCTGTGGAGCTCCTGTCTCACAACACACGCAATAGACACAGCAGGACAAATACCCATGGTTACAACTCTGTGTGTATTGTTTTTAAGAATATATAAATGAACATGAACAGCAACAAAAGAGGCTGGCCATCAGTAATGAGCTCTCTATTCAGCAACCCTTGTATTACATAATACCTCTAGGCACATTGAATTCCACAAATGTTCACAGACTTAGACTTACTACCAAGATTACAGTAATATCAATGTGATTATCACTGTTTGGGACATTTTTATTATTAGGAAATATGTAAAAGGAGGTAATCAGCAGACAAGAAGGTTATGTAAGCACATCATCAAAAAGACCATGTGACTACCACATCAACTGGTCATTGGCCCTTAACATTTTTTTCATGAGCACTGATTGATGTATTGATTCCTGGTAATGGAAAAACAATTACTAGCAGTAATCATTTCCCTCATCAGCAGGGGAAATCTTTAATTAAAGATATTTGCTAGGTTGGCTTTCACATTCATCACAATTGGTTATACCATTTACTGTTAAAAGAAGAAGATTATTTGTGGCGAAGAACTGCCTGTGGCATTCATGTCACTATGGAGCATTGGTGAAAGAGTGCCTGTCTTTGTTTCTAGCCAAGAAGGTCAGCAGCCACAGAAATGTCCATGACTCTTTTGCAACAGAAGACTATTCTTAATATTTGGACAGAGGCTAAAGAAAATAAATCTTTATTAGAGGATACATTGCATGAAACAAGCAATTAATCTTTTACATTTATGTAAATGTGGCCTCTAAGACAGTATAATGAAAAGCATAACATGTAGATTGACCAACTTGCCCAGTCATCTGTGCACACATACTGTTTCATTGATGAGTGTATTCAGTGTGTTACAATACAATACAGTGAGAGCACACTTTTGGCATGAGTGTCTCTATGGGGTAAAAAAAACATAAACCTGTTAATTGTGCAGTCCTTAAGTGTATTAAGTATTCAAATGCTTTGCTTAAGGAAAAGTAGCAATACCAAATTATAAAAATGAAAGTTCTATATTTGAACACATTATGTAAGTAAAAGTACAGAAGTATAATCAGAAAAATGTACTTAAGTACTCGTTATACAAAGTGGAACCTGTTATATTTCATATATTATCAATATGTTGTTTGGTAATTTAATCAAAGTTATAAATTTATAGTAAAGTATAAATTAGCATAACATGGGAATACTCAACTAAAGCACAATTATGTCAAATTTGTCACTGAAGTACAGTACATGATTAAATGTACTTAGTTACACTGCTCCACCTACGCTGGAGACTGAGCTTCAAAGCAAGACAGAAAAATGTTGATTTTGGTTCACTGTGTATGCATAGCTTTTTCTCCAATATCTCTGGGTTTCTCTCAAACTCCAAAGTCTTGCAAGTCATGTGTAACCCTCCAATCCATAAAGATGTACTCAAGACACTCATTTTACCGGTTAACCACTGTTTACCATTTATTGTTTGTGCTAAAGATCTAACCAGATAGCTCTTCTTTGGGGTTTTGTATTTCAGCGGGCCACCAAAATTGCCAGGCATAATAATAAGATCAACTCCTTGATCTTAAATCAGAAAAAAAACAACAGTGATGTGACATGAATACATTAATAATTACATATAGTGGAGAGCCTTCTTGATAAATGAATTCATGGATTCAACTGTGAAAACGTTGACGAGGAGGAGGCTACTACTTACTGTTTCCCAGCTGCTAACTTATCTCACTGAGTTTTGAGTTTGAGCATTAAGCTTTCCCATGTAGCTTAGTCTTACGCTAAGAGTCACTGGATTGCTCAGTTGCTTAGCAATATCACAACCTTACATGTGACTGATGTTCCCAAGGTACCCAAAGAGTTTTACTGTCACTGCACTGACGGCACAATAATGCCTGACCACCACTGCCCCGCCCCACTGACTAACTGCAGTCACCTTATTGCACTGTAGACGATGGAAGGCTAAGAGTGTGCAGATTTACTTTTTAAAGAACATATTTTTTGCACTGGACTGGACAGACACAGACTGGAGGGACTGATACATGAATTAAGTCATGTGGAGTGGTCTTCAGTTAGAGTGAAAATCAACTTGATTGATTTATTGATTTACTGATTGATTGACCTGTCTGCTTGGTCACCACACCTCAGCCCAGTTGAACACCCACAGAAGACCTTTGACCAACCTCTTAGACAGCACTTTCCACCACCATCATCAAAACACCTTATGATTGTCTTTTTGAAGAATGTTGTTTATCATTCCAGTAAAGTTCAGCCTTGTAGAACATGCCAAGGTGCACTGAAACAAAACTCTTTCAAATGTTTGTCACCCATCTGTATTACAGTGGTGTAAATGTGACCGTAACTGTCAAAAAAGATGATAGCTGCCGTTTTTTTAAAATGGTGACCTTTTAAAACTACTCTACATAACACAGTTTGTCTGTGTTGTAATTTGAACATACCGTTACTTAAAATGCAACAGTGTTTATTTGGAATTGTGTTACAATGGAAACCGCTTGGGTTGCCAGCAAACACTGCAACAGCAAGGAGCATTTGGTTTGGACTACAGGACTGACTGGACAAGCAAATCAGAGTGGGGTTTGTGTGTGTTTGTGGTATTACCACTCAGCACATATTGTATATCATATAGTATGTATGTGTAGAATATAAAATATATAAGTATAATATATGTATATATTAAACTCCAAAGGCAATGAACCCTACCCATTTTGGAGAATTCATGAGCCTTCCTCTTGCACCCCCTTTAGGCCAAAATGTCAACTTGCACACAGAACTTCTCATAAATCAAAAAATGTAATGCCATTAAATTTGCTGATCACGTTTGTGCTTCTAATATTAAATCTTTTTAAACTAAAGTAGCCCATGGCCCTTCCTCTAAAGCCACACTCAGGGCCAACATTACATTTTTGGCTGTTTGCCTTATATCTATTACATTGGTGTTTGCTTTGTTGTTTTCCCATAGCAAACGCCTGAACTAGAATGGATGGAAAATGTGTGATATGTCTTTCAAACAATCTATAAAATAGGATATAATAGGAGATATGAAGTAGGGAATTTAACTTTGAAATACAGGTCACTGTCACTGAGAACGACTACTGTCTTATTACATGCACTTTTCAGATATTGCGATGGGGGGAGCCCCTATGTAGTGTATTGACCAGATCTTCAGCTGCGATGTTAATGACAACATCTAAATGTAGTGTGTATGTAATGTACTGTACGCGACAACAGCTGAACGAGCCTTTAAGATGTAGGATTGATTGAACATTGTTGTTGTTGTTGTTGTTGTTGTTGTTGTTGTTGTTGTAAGTAAATATAAAGGGTGGTGTAGGTATGTAAAAACGTTGACAAGGACATGAACTAACATCTATCAAAATATGTCAAATAATGATTTAAACTTAAACCTTATCTCCGCACACACGGAAAGCACACTGGGGTGCACTCAGAAACAAGTTACCTTGCTCTGGCGTTACTTTTTTTTCTTTCTTTTTTTTACTCATTCACCATTCACAAGCATTCCCTTTAAACGACGACCGCACTATCAAGACGATGGGGTAACTTGTGACTGCTGGCTATAGACTTTAGCTATTGTAACGAACAGATAATATCCAATTACAAAACATGTTTAACAATTACATGTTATTATTGTAACATAGTAGCGTGCTCGACACTATAAATACCACTTATACTCAAATAAAGCGTAACATAATAGAGCTAAGTAATAGCTCCCCCCTTCCCGTCGTGCGGTGGTATAGCCCTTCCCATCTGTTCAACTCCGGTGAGACGCTGATTGAAACAGATTGTAGCGCTCCGCGGGTCGCAATGGCAACAGTCCGCACAGGACGGCAGCAGCAAGTTTTGTCGTATTTGTAATGTTACGGAGACATTATAAGTCGCTGAAGAAACTACTTTCTAATGTGAGAAACAAACGTTACACAATATCTCCTGTCCGAAAATGTCCCAGGGATGTACCGTTTCTGTGGAAGAGATCCAGTCTTGGTGGGAAGTCCCCGCCATAGCCCACTTCTGCTCGCTGTTCAGGACAGCTTTCAACCTTCCTGACTTTGAAATAGAGGTAAATTAGATTTGTGGTTGCTTGCAGTAACGGGAATGTCTTCAATTACGGAAATGAAAAGTTGTTTATGTCAGCTGTTTTGTCTACGTTGTCTGTGAAACGCCATTTGTAACCTATAACCAGCTATTTGTTTAACCAGCTTAGCAGCATTCTCTGAACTTCTCATTCGTTAACGTTACTAAGGCGATCCTGTTAGTTAACGAGCTACGAGCCTGCTCCTTAGCACAGCTAAAAGCTAGCTTTAATGGCTAATTGCTGGTCCTCAAAGTTGTAAAACATCATGAGAGCCGTTAGTCATAATACAGTTTTATGGTCCGATGTAAATAGTAACGTTACATGTTGCTGTACGTCCAGGGATGGTCTGTTGTTCATGGATAACTTTAGATTTAAGTGCTCTTGTAACAGAACCATGTGCCAATCATTTGTTTTCATTTGGCCAGAGCCCCTTGTTTATGTTAAAGAGCGACTGCAGTTAAGGTCATTTATACAAAGAGTAAACGTAGTGATATGCTTGTAAAAAAAATATTTTTTTTAAATGACAAAACGATGTGAAACTTGCGAACATTTAAGTGGTTACCGTTTGTACAGATATTTGTGCGACTGCAGAAATGTGTTCATACAGGGGGAAAGTCGCGCACTAAGTTGTATTGTCGTCCTGCTCACTGAGTGGACTGTGCTACTGTGTTTTGTTTCTTATTCTGTCAGATAAAGTTAAGTTCATGGCGTGAGGCTCGGGTTTATTGTCTTGCAGTTGCAAGCCATCTGGCTTGGGTAGCCATAGGGACGCAGATGCTGTTCAGGCATTGTTTGCTCGCCCGAGTCCCAGTTTTTGATGGTTTAAGCGATTGTTTCCTATATAAAATGGGTACAATACGTTATAGCGCTGAGATCATCCGCCCGCTCTCTGTCCTATTGCAGCAGAAAGGAATTTTTTACACCACGATTACATAATTCAACTTTGTCACTCGATTCGACCCCTCATATGTTCACTTAAATGTATTCGAAGTTCACAGAACAGCTCATTCCAACATGTAGCCTATCTATTCAAGTATCACACCAGAGTTAATGGCGATTGTTTAATCAATTGTGGAATTATTGCACTTAAAAGAAATTGCTAAGGTCAACACGAGACTCCATCATTCATTCATCCCCACCCCCTTCGCGAGAGAAACACGTAGGCATCGCTTTGTTATTAAATGAGGTGCAAGGCAGATGGGGGATCGCCTAGTTTACATGAAAGTTGAGGGTGTTGTGCCGTTGCATTTCTCCTTAAGAGGGGTTTGGATTTATGCGAAATACACATTACTGTTGAAGCTCATATTGAGTAACAGTTATCCAGCTGCAAAGAACTGATCGGTTGATCTTCTTGATTTTAACTTTACAAATGCTTTTCTCTAGACCAAGCATGACTTGGAGTATTGAGTTTAACATGAGGGTCTTTTGCTGCTACCCAGTTCGTCTTTTATGCATCACTAAGCTGATCACATGTGGGGAGACACCCCCTCAACTGGATTTCAAGGAAATATTGAGATTGATTCAGTGGTCTTATACATTGACATCTCAATCAAAAACACAAGTGTTCAAGGTCATACCTCCTTTGGTTCTCAGTATAGTTATCTGCTGCTGCAGTTATAATAAAAGCTAGATAGTAAATGGTAATAGAAGCTTACTGCTTTAGGTCTTTGATTGAAAAGTGCATTTGTTTGAGAAATATTGCGTCTGTCATATGTGGTGTCACTGTTGATATCCCCACCCTACAGTTTTGGGTGGGAAAACTAGAATGCATGGCTACTGAGTTCATCTAATTGTGTTGCACATCATTCTAAATCACTGGATCACTTTGCATTGGTCTGCTGAGAAAATGGCTATGTGACATTTGTAGATCCTATTTTGTGAGTGTCAGATTCTCATTTCTCGGCTTGCAGAGTGACCATATTTTGGTGAGTGTGTGTGAATTTGAAAGTAAACATTTGGATGTAATACTCTTTCATGCAGTGAAAACACCATAATAATCCATTATAACTGTTGTGAATCCCTGTGTGAACGAGAAAAAAACGGTACACATGGTGAGTGTTTGAGACTCAGAAACATACTTTGGGTTTGGTATCACTTAAGCTGTTTCTTTGTAGTTCTTGACAAAGTTTGAATAAACTGAACCAGAGTTGTGTCCGACTTCAACATATCAATTGACAAATTGTCATAAACTAAAGCATACTGTATGTTGTCAGCTTTAACAAACAGTGTCTGGGTATGAGTGACGGATGGCTCTCCTGTGTGTAAAACAAGAAATCATGTTTTTCTTGTTTTGGTTTGTTTGTTTATTTCTGTGTTGAAAAAAGCAGGTGACTTTCTTAAATCCAATGCATAATGCTGCTATGCTTTGTGTTCTGGGTGAGTGAAAGACTAAATCTATTTAAAGGTTGTGTATATGAGATTCTGAACATTAATAAAGCAGCATGTAAAGCTTTGTAAAGAAATGGTGGAGTAATACTGTCCTGAGCAGGCAATGACGCCACACTCCCTCTGTGTGTTGTCATCCCAGCTTCAATGTGTTAAGTTTTGATAACTGGCACACACGCATATAAGTGCATGCGAGTCCCTCAAACTGTTGGCTTTGAGAGCAATATAACAACTTTTCTCTTTTCTCATCTGTTGCATTGAATTAAGGATTTATTTCAAACTAGAGTTGGTGATTGCTTGAACAGTGGTTTTGATGGGGTGGTGGTGTTGTTGTTGTTGTTGCTGTCCAGTTTGAATTAAGTGTGTTTGACGATGGAGTCTGGTACGCAGTAGTGCCCATTTATTTTCTTTAAATGCTGGTGCTGTAGTGTGACATTTAGTGGCAGTAAATGTTAAATACAGTGACTTTAAGTAGCTGTGTTTACATGGAGACTTTATTCCAGTAATAGTTTCAAATAGGAGCCCAGTCAGAGTTAAAGTGCCTTTGATCAGAATAAACTGACCCATTCTGAAAATTGTCATGTAAATGCTCTGTTTTATTCTTGCCTTGGATTTAAAAAAAAAAAAAAAAAATCTATACCTGTGCATGTTTGCCGACCTGAGTTTAAATGATGTTTAGTAATTCCAGGTACTCTTAAACGGCAGTCCCTTGTATTATATGCATGTGGCTAGATGGTCTTTCAGCCAAGATTGTATAATATGCTGAAAATTGTACCTTCATGGGTGGCCTGAGAAGCTGGTTATCAAAGTAAAGTAGGAAATTAATACACATTTTCCTGGTGTGTATTTTCATGGAAAGTGTCAGGAAGTTATAAAAATGAGGCAACATTAGTCCGACCTTCTTTCTTTTACACTGCAGAGACCAAGAAGACTCCACACTTTAGATATGACAATATTAAGATATTATCTGACATTGTCCTGTCCTTTTAGTCCAGTTCTCACAGTAATATAATACAGCAGTTTGCAAAGACTGGTTCCAGAGTCTGGACAGATCCAACATGTTTACTTTGTGAGGACTTTGTGTTGTAGAAATAAGAGAAAACTGTCCGTCAGTTTGTTTTGCTTTATGCCACATACCAGCAACAAGACAAGCTGGCCTAGTCACTGTCACGAGTGTAGCACTTTGGCCTGACTCCCATTCACCTTTGCCTTCACTTGTATAGTTAAGGTTGATGAAAACTGATAAGTTCCTTTTATGTCGTCAATCAACAATGAGACTGAAAAAATTAAGGGTTTACTTCAATCCATTCGATCCAACTTGCGTGATTTTCATCATGGCAACTCATAATGTGACTCAGTAGTGTGTTTAGCCACATGCCTGTATGCACTCCCGACAACATCTGGGCATGCTCTCACTGCCTTTGTCATCCTGTCTGGCGGTGCTCCTCCTGTTCCTCTTTGCACAAAGGAGCAGATACCGGTCCTGCTGCTGGGTTGATGACCTTCTGCAGGTCTGTCCAGCTCTCCTCGTGTAACGGCGTGTCTCCTGGTATCTCCTCCATGCTCTTGAGACTGTGCTGGAAGATACAGCAAACCTTCACAATGTTCAGACGTATGGATGTGCCATCCTGGACTACCTGTGCAACTTGAATGGGCTGAAGGGAACGCTTCATGCTACCAGTAGTGACAAGGACACTAGAAAAAACGCAAAACTAAAGAATAATCAGTCAGGAAAGATAAAGAGAGCAGTTTTCTGTCAATCGCTTATGCTTCATAACTGGACATTGATATCCCTGCAGTTTATTGACTTGATGATATACTGTGATGATTAGGTGGATTTTTTTGAGCACTTGACAGCTGACGAGATGCTTTTGGCCATGCATAATGTGGATAATGTCAGTCAGCTCCAGTTGCAATCCTATCTCTGGATGTATAGGTTGAGTTACTCAATTACCAGGGGTGGAGTAGGGGGCAGGAAGTGGATGTCATTGGTCATGACAGAGTAGGGGGGTGTCGAGTGATTTCACTCTGTCCTGGGCTTTAGTGTCAACATTCTCTGACATACCGTCAGTCCTTCCATGTAGACATAGCATCTCATATTGGCTGCTGTTGTCTGTGTATGTGTCAGTCTTTGTCACCCTGTCCTTGTATTGTAAACAGCAGGTGTCAATATTGGGGATGAAAGTTAGTTTGTTGTGGAGCCCAGTTGGTAAGAGTGAATAGTCTGAGGTGTTGTTACCTCTTTCATCACATTAAGAACGAATTGAGTATTGTTTTTTTGGTGGTGGTGGGTGTGTTCTGTTCTAACTGAGGTATAGTATGGAGAACTCAAGCTGGCCAGGACAACTGACTAAAAGCCTACTGCAATACTGTCACTTTAACACCTGTTTCTGTTTCTCATAATGGAGACTTTTATCATGAATGCCATATCTGAAACCACAATGTTTCATACCCTGTGAAGCTGCTACCAGGGTTAATATTGACAAACTGACAGAACTGCTGCTGTGGTACTGTTGGGGCATCTCTTCTCTTTTTACGGTGCTGATCAGCGATAATGGACCCCCCCCCCTCTCCACACCCTATCTCCTTGGCTAGCCTTT